TAAGCTTGTGGCGGGGGATTTGAGGACAGCCCAGCTTTAAGGGGAAACCAAAAGGAAGCCAACCACCTAAAGGGTCCATGTCCATGGCCTTCCCAAGACTCGCGCCAGGAGTTCGGCGGCGATTCATCCCCTACCCGTGCCCAGCTCAGCGCGGGCTGAGATCGCTCGCTTTGGCCCAACCCCAGTTTAAATAGGGGGATAGGGGGGGTGTCCAGATTATTTTTTCCCGACCAGATGCGATTGGCTGGCTACCCAAGAGTTTAAATAGGGGAATGTTTGCCTCCAAAAGTGATTCCCCACTCAGTTCAAGGACACCCCCTACTAATAAACTCAAGGCCCCAAATGTAACTCGGGTTGATTCATACACTGGATGGACAAGTCAGTTCGCACCACTTTGAAGCCATGGTTGAAACGATGTTTGTTGGAATTCATAAGAAAATCCTTCTTAGGTGGCGCAGGAGTTCGTCCATCCAGGGTATAAACCAACCCGAGTTACATTTGGGGCCTTGAGTTTATTAGTGGGGGGTGTCCTTGGGCTTAGTGGGGACTCATCAATTTTGGAGGGGACCACGCCGCTATTTAAGCTGGTTGGTTGATCAATATGGCTCTCCCTCCATCCCTCCCATCCTTCCCTTTGCTAGCCCTCCCCTTCCCTGCCTCCCATGCCCCATGCCCTTCCCACCCTCTCGCTCCTTTCCTTTCTCAGGCGCAGGAAGCTATACTCAGCTGCGCGCAGCTGACAGCACTGCAGGCTGAAACCTCCGGCTCGACGCACGGAAATCGAGTGATGGACTTTGGACAGAAAGATGGCCGTACCTACTATACTGGTATATGGCATATGAATCCACTGGGTGAAGAGAAGGGAAACTCCTGGCTTTATTAAAACGGGTGGATTGTTCAGCCAACTCCCAAGCGGATCGAAGGGAGAGTTCTGACTCTTGGAAGTCCTTGGCTTGCTGTACTGATAGTCACGAAAGGGCTCTAGGCAGCTATGGCCTCCCCTTGTTAGTGCATGGCTACGAAACAATATATAATATACATATATATCAAATATAATATGGCATTCGAGAGATATTAGGACCCCACCGACAAGACTTCTCAGATCCCTTCCTTCGCCCCAGTCACAGACGGGTCTAAGATTTTCGGGGGGGAGGTGACTTCTTCCTCTCATTGGCGAGGGATGGCGGGAGTTTTTGTTCCACTTGCCACGCTCCAGTTTGTATCATTTTGTGGGGGTCTAAAAAGGGGCCCGTGTTTCCATCGATACCGCACTGTGGCTTTGGGAGTCGGGGGGGGGAGGGTTCTTATTTGGGTGTGGCTCAAAATTAAAGAGCTCGGGTTGGGCAGGTCTTAGTTTTTGTTTCCATTTACCAAGGTGCAACATTTTGGTCTCCATGTTTTTGAGCCACAGCCTTTTTTGCTTTTTTGGGGGGGTTTTGGGGGTTAGGGTGGCTTTGCGGGTGGGGGGGGGGGGTTCTGCTTTTTTTGCTTCTTATGGAACTGGGCAGGTGCTGGGGCCGTGGGGGGGGGGTTGCTCCCGAGCTGACAGGCCCATGGGATGGTGAAGTGCGACGTCGACGGAGAAGAAGGGAGGTGGAGAGCAACGGACGCGGCCTCTGACTCTTGGAGCGAGAGAATAAGTTCTTCGGGTACCGTTTGGGCTGGTGAACAAAAACACATGGCTGTGGGTCAAAAATAGGCACCCAAATTGAGACCCCAGTAAATGGAACCAAGGACTCAAACCTGCGGTTGTCTGGCGACTCAATTTTGACCCATACCCACATGGAAATACCTTCTGATTTAGAGGACCCCCTTGTCAAGCAACTGGTTTGTTGGATTTATCATTTAAGGAACCAATGGGGAACTGGGTAAATCCTTTGCCAGATTTTGATCGCGACTCCTGAGACTCTGAGTCACGAGTGTGTGCTACCAAGGCCTTGGTCAAGATGCATCCTTTCAAGCGACTGAAAGGGACAAGAGGACAGGGCACAGAGCCAGCCACTGTGTGTGTGTGTGTTCAAGCTAGTCCTTAGTGACCTATCATACAAGCTCTTGGCATACGGCCCCAAAAGAAGCAAGCGAAGACTGCCCATTTTGAGGCTCCCCCTCTTCAAAGCTACCTGGGGCCATGAAAAGCAAGACCGAATTCCATTTGTGTGGTCCGAATTTCTATTCAATGACACCCCTCGCATCCACTAACATGGAGCCTGACTGGGGAGCTCCTGCAAAACTACCTGGTTTCTTCTAAAAAGTTGGCTTATTTCTCTCCAATTGGGTTCCATGGCTTTGGACAGGAGGGTACCCAGGTGCCATTCTTGGGTTTTTCGATGGCCAGGACATGGCGGGATGAGAACTACAATAGTTTCAGCACTCGAGCCGGGGCCTTGAGTCTCGTCGACGGGGGAAAATGTTGATGCCGTGGGTGTTTTTTTGGTTTGGGCAATAAGTATCCTGCATCTAGGGGTTGGTTCCTTGTCCATTATTTTCAAGCATCGTTAATTTCAAAACCGCTCGGATCCCTGGAAAGAATGGGGAAGGTACCTCTAGAATAAAGCGGGGAACAAGGATGCTGTTTAAGCAAAAGTGCTCATAAGTTCAAGCAAGTTGGCCCAAGCCTGGTCCTTTGTCTCGGCCTCTTGGACACCAGTCAGCATTCCTTTGGGCGGTTTGGGTTGCTTTGGCGGGTTGGATGGCGGCTTCCCATTCAATTAAAGATCTGACTCGAATCACCAGTGAGGGGTAAACCAGGGTTGCCTCTTATATAAGTGGTATACAAGCGTCCATACCTCCAAACAACATGCGTTGACATGCCCTTGGGTTCAATGAAGAGGATGACTCCACTGAGAGGAGTGTTTTTTCCGCGTTTTCGCTTATGGAGCCCCGAATCGAATCGAACCTTGCGGAAGCCCCTGGCTGGATCGATGCTTGGACCCATGAGAACCTGGGCACATGGCACAAGTATTCTCCCCTTCGCAATGGAAACTGTTGGCGCTAGAAAGGACGTAGGCGCCCTTTCCAGGGCTGTTTGGGTGATAATAGTCCCTTCTTCCTATTTCTGAACGAAGCGGACCCCAAATTGGAGAACTGGATTGGATGGGCTCCGTTGGTCCAGCTTGCTTGTAACCTTTTGCCAGTGCCATCCGTTTCCAACACCTGGCAAACCCCGGGACTGAATGTCCTCATTTTCCGATGTGGGACACCAAAAGTCCCTCAAAGACGCACCCATATCCTTCCCGGTGGATCCCAGCTACCACTACAGTAGGTCACCAGCTATTTTCAAGCTTGGTTGTTCAAGGACGGCATCCCAGTGGATCCCAGCTACCCCCATGGTAGGTCACCTATTTTCAGGACGGCTTGCCCTTGGTTCAGGGAAGTGGGATCGGAATCGAATCACCTGCTGTTGGGCATTGGGCGATGTCCCGCAGGAAGGTCGCGATTCTCCAGTTCCATGGCTGACAGGCCCCCAGGCGCGGGATCCTGCGAGCGCTGGAAAGGTTGAAGATGGAGGGTGGTCTCCCTATCTCTTGGTCTTTTGACATGAGCCTGTCTCTGGATTTTACCCCATTCCCACAGATTGTGTGGGTTTCTGGGCGCTGGGCACGTCTTCTTTTAGTTTTTTTGTGTAGTTGAAGTTTGTCTTGTTTTTTTAATTATGGTTAGGTTTTTTCTATTTTTTCCTTTTGTTTTTTATAGTTTTTTTTCTGTTGATTCTGATTTGTATTTTGTTTGTTTTGTTTTTGATTTTTTTGTTTTTTTTTCGTCTGTTGTTTTTTGTTGTGTGTTAATATCATGTTTTTTAGTAGTTTCCTTTTTTTTTTGCTTCTGGGCGCTGGGCACGTCTTGCCCGTTCAAGGCTAACTTGCCCGTGTTGGCCCACTTCCGAGTTGCTTCTCGTCAGTTCTCCATTCTCTCAACTTCCAAGCAGTCAAGCTCCAACGCCCGGCCGCTTGCTGGATTGAAGTTGATCAGGTTTACGAGGTTCCCCCTGTAGTGCTCTTTTACCCACGTTTTTTTGGGAGGATTCCCCTTCTAAAATAGACCACAGACAAAAAGGGCACCCTTATTCTAACCTCTCTGTACTGGAGGGCCTAGTTTAAGGATGCCGCAGGGTTGTACAGTGCTTGCCTCACACCGATTCTTCGCTGAGCATGACTTGGAAAGGCGTTGTCCAAAGGGGAAATCAGACAATCTTCTTGTGGAAGACAGAGCCATGTGTTCCCATGTGGGGGGGTGTTTTTTTTTTTGGAAGGCACCATTATTTTTGTGGTATTCAAGGAACACAAGGAAAACCAGGTCCCCTTTAAAACCCCATTGTTCCTATCACTCAACCGTGTGATTCGCTTGGGAGGACCATGGAGATGGTCCAGATGGGCTTAGCACAGTTTTGGCACCTGCCTTATCTCGAGCGCACAAACAAAAGTGGCTATGAATGTTTGATAGGGAACCACCTCAAAAGTAGTTGGTGGACATGAATCCCCACCTGGATGAGGGGTAGGATCCCTAGTTAAAAACTGATGAGCATGGTGAGTAGGACATGACTTATCAGTTCGAGGCAGTGGCCATGATGACCCCGAGCTGAACCATCCCACTGGTGCCAGGCGATCCCAAGTGATTTACCATCAACGGATTTCCCAGTGCAAAGGGAAACAACATGACATCGTGGCCCATTTTGAAGGGGCGCGATTCCTGTTGTGACAGACATGCTCATGGAAGTTTTGCTAAGGAAAGTGGGGAGAAGAGGACCGAGGCTCGCAGAACACGTCGAAGACGGCGCGACCGTGCCGAAGCTTGGGCTGACAGCTGTGCCGTTTGGGTGGGTGGGTGGGTGGGTGGGTGGGTGAGGGAGGGAGCGAGGGAGTGAGTGGGTGGGTGGGTGGGTGAGTGAGGGAGGGAGCGAGGGAGTGAGTGGGTGGGTGGGTGGGTGAGTGAGGGAGGGAGCGAGGGAGTGAGTGGGTGGAAAGAGTGAGTGAGTGAGAGAGTGAGTGAGTGATTGAGTGAGTGAGGGAGTGAGTGAGTGACTGAGTGAGCGAGTGAGTGAGTGAGTGAGTGGGTGAGGGAGCGAGCGAGCGAGCGAGCGAGCGAGCGAGCGAGCGAGGGAGGGAGGGAGGGAGGGAGGGAGTGAGTGAGTGAGTGAGTGTGTTTGTGACCTGTCGTTTGCGGGCTCCCTTTTTAGCTTGGTTTGAATTGAAGGGGCGCCAAAAGGAACAACACCATTCTGGGGTTTTCGTTTTGGACATGCCCACAAGAAGTTTCTACTATGGCTCTGGGGCTCTGGGGTCATTGTTTGACGGTGTTTGGGGGTGATCAAAGTCAGAAAATGGAATCGGCTGTTTCCCTTTAACCCACCACTGAACGGGGGTGACTTTGATCATGGTAAATTCATGACGCCAGTGGCTCGCGAGTGTGTCAAGCGGTGCCAAGGAAAGACGAGAGGTCCGCGAGCGAGTGGACAGCTACGATACCAATGACACCTGGGACATGCTGGCCTGCTTGTGCCCAATTACTCTCAAAGACTGTGGGTCAAAAATGGGGGCCTATGGTTCAGATCTTTGTGGGGTGGTCTCAAAAGGAAGCGTCCGAGCACTTAGTATGAAACCCAAACTTGCCAGCAAATGAGGCAACACCGAGTCCATCAAAGTGGACATGTTGGAGGCTTCTCAAGCTTTATTTCGGCGGTTGTTTTTCGGCATACCGCCACTTAGAGGACAATTCATTTTGAGCATGTCACTTCTGTCCCATCAAAACTCGCTGTCCCCCTGCCAGGAAAGCGCTCGGCGTAAAAGCCAGGACCGACGAGCGCTTGCGGTAGCTTGGGGCCCGGGGTCTCTTGCGCAGCTTGCAGGAGGACACAAGTCGCGCTGAGGGTGGAAAGACTTGGGCGAGGCAGGAAAGTGCAAGATGTGTATTATCAACATGCGCCTGTGCTATGTATGGTTGTTGTTGGGACACATTGTACATTTTTGCTGCTTGTGGTTTAGTGGGAAATCCCCACTGAACTGCTGAAATTTAAATTGTTGCTCCCCTTCCAACGTCAACCAAGTATGTTGGTACTTAGGGATTGTCAGGGACCTCTAAATAGGGGGCTTTCGACAAGCAACGTAGAGGGTCGTATAAGGGGAACCATGACTGCCATGGCGAATATGTGTGCTCAGGGAAGAAGAGTCCAGAAGACGAGGCAGGCCTTGCAGCGCTGGCGAATGGCGAGAGGGTGATACGAAAACAACTTAGCACCACTTAGGTAAGGGGCTGAGTAAATTATGTTGTAACATTTGCTCCTGTTCATGACCAAGCTTGGTTTTGAAGTACCCAAGAGCCCAAAGCCCCAGTCGAATTGTGTGTACAACCTCTTGTATTAGATGGTGTCCGAGCCTTCCTGGGGCTCATCCATTGTTGCCTGGTGTAGGATTGTGCCCATCCAGAGCAAGAAGCAAACCAAAGATGCGCCAGTTGCATGCGCAGAAGAACAGCAGCCCACCATAGGCAACCACGGGCAACCACAAAACCCGGAGGTATGTTTCTCTGATTCCCTACGTGGCTTGCCTGGAAGCGCTGGGTTTTGATGCAGGGCACGCTCCTGCTCGGCGAGAGCAGTTGGCAGCAGTGGAGGAGGCTGGATGCATTGAAGGTCGCGAACTGGGAAGCACTCGGTGACGGTAGCCCACGGCTGCATGGGACGTGGGTGGCATCAAATTTGAGCGACACCCAAAACGGAGTCCTATTGACCATTTTAGTTAGTTTTATTGGGTGGTCTATTTGAGCTCGTTTGTTTCATGCAAGTTTTAGTAAGGCGTATATGAACCCAACCCATGTTGGGTTCCAAAGTCAATCATCAGAGAGCCCTTAACGGGGTCGCCGTAACGGGGGTCGCCGTAACGGGGGTCGCCGTAACGGGTTTGGATTTCAGGCAGTTTCAGGCAGAAACAAAGCAGCCCACAACAGCCCCTAAAAGCCGGATGTGCTGAGAGGTGTGCGCAAACCAAAAAACCAAGCTGCCCGGGAACGCCCCCGTTTGCGCGATCCGCCGTAAAGGGCCGCCAAGAACCAGGGCAATCCTTTAAGACTACCTTATTGGGAAATCGGTATGGGCCTTTAGTGGCAGCAGTTTCCTTCTGGCTCACGAGACCTGAACTCCAACAACCTGGGGGTTGGTTTTTTATTCGTTGGGTTGCACCCCCTAGCTCAACCTGCCCTTAGGCCGGAGTTACATGAAAGCCATTTCGATGCCCCCAGTGACTTCACTCAAGTTTGGAGGGCGTGACAGAGAACCAGCACAAAATCCGAGCAACCAACCAACCATTTCCAGCTGGCCCCTAGCTTAACACCCAGCCAGGACAAAGTACTTTTGGATTCTTGGGCGCAGAATCAAGCTCCCGGTCGGGTTGCCTTATTTTAACAGGGAACCTTTCAGAGAAACCGAAAGGAAACCCAACCAACATGAGGTTCTTCCAATTTCTTGGTGCCTGTTAGCTTTTGCCCGGAGGTTCCGGTCGAAAAGCGCCAGCCGAGACCCCAGCGTATCGACAGGTCCATCTCGGAAGGGAGAATAGACATACGAGGTGTTCGCATGAATTGGAGACAGGTGGTCGATTTCCTTTTGGCGTTCCCTTTAAAGGCGCACACGAAGGGCTAACCCTGTTCTTAAAGGTTCTTGCATGGGAATCTACTTTTTATGACGAGGCCAGCCCCATGATATGGTCCCTTGAGGATTCCTCGATGCTTGGTGAGGTACCGGAGTGCAGATGAGACGGCAAGAATCAACCGTGTCCAGAAAATTTGGATCGTAACTGCCAAGGATTTGCTTGTGGCTTCGTTTCATCCGCACAGAAGGAGATCCTTCCCCTGTAGGAGATCCTTGAGTCACCAAGCGACCGAAATGCTGGCATTCTGATCGGGTCATGAAAGCCACAGTTGGAGAAAATCAATGGAACAGAGAATCATCACCTCAATGAATATCAATTCATCGTCATCTTATATTGTATGTGTGCTTTGGTGTTAGACGTGCCATCAGACACGCATTGGCGTGTAATATATATATATATACATGTATACATATATATATATATATGTGTCGGCTGCACAATTACCGTTACTTACTTTATGTAGGACACATGTTGTTTTGGTGTTATTTTCTCGAACACGATACGGCACGTCCAACAAACGATACTCAAAAACCTGAGAGAACAACCTGGGAAATGATAGTCCTAACGTCGGAATGAATACACCCCAGACAAGTATTTTTCACGCTGACTCATATATGCAAAAACGAACAACTATATTATATGTATCGTGTAGAGCATAGTTTTATTTAGGGAACCTCTTGGGGGACAGCTAGGTGGGGATTGATGTGCGCTACCCACTTTTGACGGGCTTCCGACTCTTGAAATTCGTAGCCGTATCAGTGTACATGTATGTTAACATATATACACATATACATGTGTCTATAACATGTACATATAAAGATCATGTAACAAAGTAGGTATAGGGTAATACAGCATAATTTACGTGTGTGTATATATATATATATGTACATATATATATATATACATGCATATATACCTAGAAGATCCGTTGGCTGAAATTTCTGCCGAGTCTGATTTCAGCGGAAATTTCCGCCGACGGTTGGGGAAAAAAACGAGTTCCAAAAAAAAAGCCGAGGCCCGGGCAGAAACACCAAGTGCACGCAACGACAGCTGAGCACAGGTCATCCCCCGCTCAAGGCAGCCCTTCCGTGACTGACATGTCTTTGTCGGTAAACCCAAGTGTTTGTTGGTAACCCCACATCTTTGTTGGTAACCCAATGTCTTTGTTGGTATTCCCAACGCTTGCCTAAAAACCGACACTGCAGTCATAGATAGGGGTGGGGCCTACCATTGTCATTTCCTTAGTTCGGCGCTCTTTCTTTGCACCAGCCGACGGACCGTTCAAGCACTGGTGGCCCTCAACGTTCGCAAATGCCGTTCAATGACAGCGCGTGACTTCAGGAAGTGTCTTTGCATCACACGACGGCCCAGTGTCCGTGTTGACACCTTTCTACTGAGGGAACAGATCTTGCCTACATGATCTTCGTTAGCCTCACATCCAAACACTTGAGGATTCAAGATACGAGGGGCTTGGGTTTCCAAAGAAACGCGGAGCTCAAAGGCCAGGTGCTTCAGGCAATGATATTTCGGCTTCATCCCGAAAGATACCTCACACGATTTGAGACGAACTAGAAAACACTGTGTTTCACAAGGAACGCCAACAGCATTGCTTTGCCAAAAGGGTTATTGCTACATGCCGCCATGTACCATGTTCATTGCCAGCGATTGCCCGGCCAGCTTGTGATACCCTTTGGCCACGACCATCAGTTTGATGTACAACAGCTGTGCGCAGCTGCGGTCCAGCCACATACCATGAGAATAGCAAATCGAATGCACATCAAGCAAACTCACCACCACTGTTCTTGCAGTCCGGAGGTATTCAGCATGTGGCCCAACTCCCGGGTGCGTTGCCAAGGTCAAGGCAATGAAAAATTCCAGGAAGCGGAGCAGCAAAACTGTATCGGATCCCTTCGAGTTTGACCACGGTGTTTGCTGGAAGTTGGTTGAGTTGAAATAGGCCCTTGTAAATGACCGAAGGCCAGGGCTCACCCGAGCTTGTGTACACCACAGTCGGAAAAGACCATGCGCACGTTCCAATCGAACATTAATGTCTTTGGATTGTTCAGATGCAGGGTCTTCAGGGTCTTCAAACTCGAAGAAACCTAAGCGGCTCAAATTGATAATAAGTGAACCTGCAATATCTCGGCCAACGCCGAGCTTCAGGGTGTGAAACGGGTCGAGCTTGTGAGCCCACTCGGGTCGCGAATCATCGAATTGAATTGTCGATAGAACTGGAGGGCGCTGCTCATCCCAGGGTCGAAACTGGAAAAGGGTTACGCGCCAAGAAGGGAGATGATCAACCTCCTCAAATGGGAAGCGGGGATCCCCTGCCAAGCACAGGCTGCACATTTGAACTGGCTGGCCGTCTCTTCCCAAATTCGCATAACTCCTGGAAAAGCTTTGAACAATTTCGCTATGAAATTTCAAATCGCCCTTTATCCCCACCAGCGCCACGCGATAGGGCTGTTGTTGCGATGTGTGCAGCTTGAATCCAGTGTGAAATAGGCCCTGCATCTCGTTGGCAACCAGTTGCAAATGCGCCTGCAAAATTCCCTTGTGCTTGCGGTACAGGTAGCTCGGCAACCCAAATACCAAGTGCCGAGTGATGTACGAGTGTCCTTTCGAGTTGTGACTCATCTTGCTCGCAAGCCCAGCGTCATTTGTTTCAGCTACTAGCCCTTGGCAATGAGGAAAGCTAGAGGATGGGTACCCAGCCACCTGTGCCGCGCAAGTGCAGCCCGTGGTGTCTTGCTCATAAATACCAAAAGGGAGCTCAAATGTGAATTCCATGAAGTTTGCCCGCTTTGGTCCCCGTCCATCATCTCCGTACAACACTATAGGTAAAACCATACTCAAATCCCAACCTTGGCTGAAAACAGCGTGGGTAGGGTGGTTCCAGGCGTACATGGACCAAAACGCTTCGCACTGTCGGGCCAAATTTGCATTGCCGCCGGCCAGCGCCGCGGGATATTTGCTCACAAGGTACTTCAGCCAGTCACCAATTTGAACACGATGTGTCACGAATCGCTCGCCACCAAACTCGTGGTGCACGTCTAGGATCGGCACACGAAGGGAAAACCCTAATCTAGCAAACTTTCGATGCATGTCACGTTCTGCATTGTCCGCGTTGCGCTTGCCGGACCCTAAAGCCCGCTTCACATTCACAGCAGTGACCTCAGCCCAGAAAGCCGGGCTTGGAAAGACAATCACAGACTTGACACACACCAGCTGTCTCCTCCAAATCTCTGGGGGATTGGTTCTAAACATTTGTGGGCCCCCTTCAAAGTACTGTAGCGCAGTAGTCTCCCCACATATCCCCCAAAGGCTTAGAGAATTGGATTTGGAGGAGAGCCAGCGATCAAAAACGCACAAACACACAATCACGCAGACAAGCAAACACACAAACACGCAACCGCAAAAACACACAAACACACAAACACATAGCCACACAAACACACAAAAACACAAACACACAAACTCACACACACACAAACACAAACACAAACACACACACACACGCAAACAAACACACAAACACACAAACACACAAACACACAAACACACAAACACACAAACACACAAACACACAAACACACAAACACACAAACACACAAACACACAAACACACAAACACACAAACACACAAACACACAAACCACAAAAACGCACAAACGCACACAAACGCACAAACGCAAACACAAACGCACAAACGCACAAACGCACAAACGCACAAACGCACAAACGCACAAACGCACAAACGCACAAACGCACAAACGAACAAACGAACAAACGCACAAACACACAAACACACAAACACACAAACACACAAACACACAAGCACACAAACACACAAACGCGCAAACACACAAACACACAAACACACAAACACACAAACACACAAACACACAAACACACAAACACACAAACACACACACACACACACCCACACACGCAAACGCGCAAACGCGCAAACGCGCAAACGCACAAACGCACAAACGCACAAAAACACAAACACACAACAACACAAACACACAAACACACAAAAACACAAACACACAAAAATACAAAAATTCACAAACACAAAAACACACAAACACACAGACACACACACACAAGCACAAACACACAAACACACAAACACACACACAAACACAAACACACAAACACACAAAGACACAAACACACAAACACACACGACAAGCGTAACTAAATAGCACGTTCTGGGTTTCAACACTCAGCGCCAAACTCTAGGCGTCAGGCTCCTTCACCCATACATTCCGCCATGTGCTCATCAAGGGGCACATCGACGCCCTGGCTGCCTGGCAAGACATTGTCCCGGCTGTTTTTGAAACTTTTGCCAAACGCCAAGCTTGGCAGGCTTTCAAGACTCGCATCACTCGGATTTTGCCCGAGGCCCTCCTTGAGTGCACATGCATATTAACAGGCCCAATTCCTGTTCGGCGCACTCCTGCAAGGCCCTTTTTACCCTGGAGCCCTGAAGAATCCTCAGCAACTGGTGTTGAAACCTTGACCCAAGGGTGCCAGACAACTTCACTTTTGAATGGACCATGTTTTCGGAAGCCTTCTTCAGGGAAGCCAAAATGAAAAATCAGCCTGTCTTAGGCTTCTTCTTGGAGGAGGACGGCTCTGCCGCAGCGCTGGCGCGCTTCTTCTTTGCCGCCTTGGGCTCAGATTTCTCAGCCGCCTTCGGCTTCGCGGCTTTTGGCTTGGCGCTGCCAGAAGGTCTGGATGGAACCACTGACCTCCCAAACAAAGGGTGAAACATATAAACTTCGACCCTTGATGAGGATTCCATAGTTTAACCATAATGAGGATTCCATAGTTTTTGTTCACCATCAA